GCAAAAAAATCACAGCTGAGCCCCAAGAAACCCTCAGAATGTGAGCACTTTATTTATGAATCAGCTGCCCACCCTCTGGTTTGAGAATGAAAGAGCCTCCAGTCACACTGTGGTCCTCTCCAGACGGGGAATACAAATGCAGTTACAGTGTGGCAGCAGTTATCATTTATTGAGAGCCCGAGTTCCAGGTGCCAGGCTGGGAGCTTTGTTTATTATTTCATTTCATCCTCATAACCCAAGATAGATGGTCATTTCTTTTGCTTTTTTAAGTTCCCTTCTGAAGTTGAAAAGACCTTGAAGAGCACTAGGAAGAGAGTTTACTCAGAAGGCAGGCCAAGTAACCATTGAAGAGGTACACATCTCTTAGTGCTATTTTTCTATTACTTGCCATATTTTCATATCCTAATACTGCTGCTTCTTGCCCTATTTTTTAAATGTAATATTTAGGTATACAATTTCATGGCCTTTTTAATTACAGAGTTTTGATGACTATTTTCCAAGAGTTTAATCAAGAGGGGACAAAAGCTGTAGTAACCTGTTTTCTCGCTCTCCTTATTTGCACTATGTGCTTGTTTATTATCTGTGAGAGCATACTCCTCATACGGTTTGAAATGAAAGGATGATCCATCTCCTCATTACCAATCCTCTGCTTGGTGATGAGAAACAAAACAAAACATAGGAACAAAGGAAAAATGCGTTCCTGTCATTTCTCAGCCTTCCTTGCTGCTGCTCAGCTGGGACGTTAAAGAGTGGGGTTTAATGAAAGAAGGTGAGAAGGTGAAAAAAAGCCCTAATGAGCATGTGCTTCGTTATATGGAAAGATCACTGAGAAGCGGCTGTCATTTTCTTTGTGCCTAACATAGCAGTGTCCCCTAGGTCAAGGAAGCCCATCATCCTTCCTTCCCCACCCATCCTTCCCTTACCCTGGCAAATAGCTTCTCCACCTAGAATAGATTTCGTGAAGTTTAATTTCTGATGGTGGAGTGAAAAACAATGTCATTTCCCATCACTAGCTTACAGCCCTTGAGACACATGCAGACATGTTGCAGGAGGTTCTTTCGGTTGTTTGCATCACTGGTAGAGCACCTCATGAGCAGGCATTTCAGTTCTACAGCTCAGGATGACAGAGCCCCAGCCTGGACTGCAGGCTTGCTGACACTTACCCTTTAGACTAAGAATGAAGAAGCAAATTCCCATCTAGCAATACAGAGCCACTGGAAAACAAAATGTTTCAATGCTTCAAAGGAGAGTCGATAATAGCTGTCAAACCTCTAAAGCAATGCTCTGAATTAGAATGAAATCATGTAGTCATAATATCATTCCAAAAATGTCTTTCATCAGTGAACGTTCCAGACCTTGTGTGAGCATCACACCTAAAATGCCAAATAAAACATGAGAACCAAACTCAGAAAGAACCTCAAAACTCTGAGAGTGATGTTTTTGGTCCACCAGTTTTCAAACCAGGAAATAATTTCTCATCATTCCCAAAAGACCACTCATTTGGGGAGTGGGAGAGAGGCATGACCGACCATAACAAGTAAAACCAAGAAATCTTAAAGTACAGCTCCTTTTGAATTGACAGCTATCTCAGGGAGGCAGGACATGTTTCTCTAATGTCTATGGCCAGTGCAACTGTTAACACTGGCAGAAATAAAGATCTTTCTTTGAAGTTGAAATATGCAGCCTTCACTGTGTTCCCATCCTCTACATTTCACCAAGTGAACAACCTAAATTACACGGAATGGCAGTAAATTGGCTCATCATAGATAGCCCTGTTCTAATTTTAAAAGGATAAAGAACTAAAAAACAAGAAAGCTTCGCATGCAGTAGTTCAGGGACTAGTGAAGTCCCTTAAGGGGCTGCCACAGTCTTTCCCTAGAAGGTTATGGGTTCAAATTCAACCTAGATTTGTGGTGACTAAGGACCATTTAATGTCTTGTGTTAAATGTATGTGTGCCTTCAACATAATGTTCCTAATAGGGATGCTGACAGCTTGCATTTGTCATTCTTGCTGACTCTCTTAGGAGTACAGTGGAAAGCTAACCACATGTGGAAACTAAATCATTCCCTGCCATATAAAGATGATCCTTACAAAATGTAAACTCTGAGGCACAAAGAACATCTTGCTTTCACACTGTCTATTGTCTGCCCCTCTTCCATCTCCGAGAAAAAAGTATAGCAGCTCTTTGACTGGCAATCTAACACCCGAATGAGCTCAGGACAGACTTTAAATTATAAAAACCTACAGGCATGTCCACAAGAATAGTGTTTTTCGAACAACATAATAACTCTCTCAGTTTCCACAAAGCATTCACTTGTGGTAATAAAATGCCAGGTCACAAGTCAAATTTTGACTCCATTACAGAGCATTATCTTTGAATTCTAAGTGGAAAGGCAGTACAATTCACAAGCTGTTAGGTTCCAGCCTTACCCCTGGACAGCAACAGAATAATAGGCTAAACAGTTATAGCTGCTGTAATCACTACTTGATTCAATTCTTAATGACTTGGCTCTCTCCACAGGTCACTTCAGCCAGTCATTCAACAAATAGACTTCAAACAATTTGGATTCTAGGCTTCTGCTTGGAATTCCACCATCGGTGGAATTCAGTGAAGAAACCTACCATCAAAAGAGATTTGGTATCACTTAGAGACACTTAAGGTAATTAGGGTACTCCTCTGTGAAAAAGCAAAAGTTGAGGTGGCTGAGTTGACATAGAAGGTTTCCATGGAGTTCCCTCTAAAGTTGTAAATGGTCCCCACCTTTAGATATGATGTTGACTACCAAAGAGTAAGTTGATCAGTGGGAGAATGCCCTATAAGGGACACCTCTAGGATGTGTCAGTGTTGTGTATCTGAGTGGTGCTAGATGGATTGGCCACCCCAACTGCACAGATCACCCAGTGGTAGGAGAGGGTGGCAGCACCCATGTGAAATCCTGTTGCTCGAAAGCTCTCAGTGAGCCCAGCTCCCCAGCTTTTTCTGTTGTCTAAAAGATGTCCTCGTCACAGCCAGAAGGGCTCCCTAGATCCTTGCTTTCAATTACCAGCCATCACTTGAACCTGTGCTACCAGGAAGTTGTAAAACTTTGAAGTTATTTCTTGTCAAGTCACCAGGTCAGTTGGGAAATGAGAGTCTGGAAAGTCACAAGGAGGGAATAATTTTGGGAATACTTCCTCCTCCCAAGGGTGAGGGGAGGGTGAAATCTACCCATGACATGACCCCTAAAAGAAAAAAAAGACAACAGATGCTGTAGCCTCTCCTATACCCTTCACCCGCTGCCCCTTATAAATCTCCAGACGCAACTGTCTTGGCAGTGGAGGTGGGCTGAATCTGCCTGAGGCTGACACTTCAGGTTTAATGCCCAGCTCCCATCCCACATCTACCCACCTACCTAGCAATCATTCCTCCATCTACTGATGGGTACATCAGATCTTTATTTATAATGTCTTCCATCTGTCTACCTAGTAGAGACTGATCATTTCAGCTCTATCTCGAACGGCCATTTTCCTGTTGGGGAAATGGGAAATAAATACCTGTTCTAACCTAAAGCAGTCTAGGAGGATCTTCAAGGACTGAAGCAGCACTCTGCTGGAAAAGTCTTTCTAGATTTGGCCCAGTGATTCCAAAAAGCACTTACAGTCTTCCCTCCTTCAGGCCTCTGTACCCACCAACCTTGGGCTTCCTTCCCGCGATTTTCCTCCCTTCCATGAGAGGTTCACTTTTCCGGATTGTCAGTATGTAGTTCAAATATGGGGACCAGATCTGTTACTCTTGCCGTGGGGCTCTGGGCTCGGGCCAGAGGAGACTGTAGGCGGGAACTAGATGAGGTGCGGGATGAGGACTAGGGCAGAATTTGCCAGATCCCTGGGGAGGCGTCATAAACTGAATGCAGAGGCTGCCACAGAGAGAGACTGGGGAACCGAACCGAGAGCCTTCCGTGGGGCTCTTGGGGCCAGAGTGACGTGGCCTCATCAGGTTGACACCATGCAGTCCTCCAATGACCCAACTCGTGAGAGATGTCCACATAACCACGACCGTCGCCGTCACTACCCTGCGCAGGCCTAAGGAGTGGGGAGGGGGAGCCTTTTCTGCTGAAACTGCGTCTGGGGCTTGTTTGTAGGTTCGCAATTCACCATGATAAATGTAAAGACCAATTAAGGTTTGATCCGTGCACACGGGAGGCTTACGGAGGCTGATAGTGGAACCAATTAACGAGCATGTCCCCTAATTCCTACCGCAGCCGCCGGGCGCACTGTGGATGCCCAGGGGCCTGCGGCGGCTGCCCCGGAGCTCCGAGCCCCTGCCGTGCCCTGGAAGCAGGTGTCCTCCCTGGAGGCAGGTGTCCTCCTCCAGCGAGAAGGTGCGAGGAGCGGGGCCGCGGGGCGGCTGGGGAGGGCCACGCCGGGCCAGGAGGCTCAGAGCTAGCCGCCTACGGGGCCCAACTGTTTGCTGCAGGGGCTGGGCGGGTGGGGGAGCGCCCGAGTGGTCCGCGCCGGGAGGGGACAGCGACTGGAAGGCGCCCGGCGCAAAGCCAGGCATTGCCCGAGGGCGGAGGACAGGTAGCCGCACGGCCGCCGCCAGGTAGCGAGTGGCTCCTGAGCGGCTCTGTCCCAAGGTTTCGCCTGCCCCGGGCCCGGCTAGCTTCTGCCCGCAGCGGGGGCGGCCTGGCGTAGATGGAGTGGGGCACCTCGGCCTCTTCCTTCGAGCTCCTCTTTTCTTTCCGGCTCAGCCCGCTGCCCCAGACATGACCCCCGCGCAAGGTGTTGGTGCTGCGCGCAGCCGGGGCGCGCGTGATTAACGGCCCCAGGTCGAGGACGACGCAAGCACTAGACTGTCCTTGCCTCGGCCAGGGTGTGAGGGTATCCGGGAGGAGAGGCAGGTCACGGCAGTGGGGGCCCCCGGGACCGCGGCCGCGGAAGAGGAAGAGAAGTGGGAGACGCGGGTCGGAAAGGCTCTTTCCCTCTAGCTCCGGGGCAGGCTCCGCGTCAGCAAAGTTTGGAGCCACTGGCGCCGCGCCGCGCGGGTCCCTCCCCACGCAGTTCCCTCGGCGGGGTCTGTGCCGCCGTCGCTGCTGGGGCAGGACAAAGGCTCATTAACACGTGATGGGACCGCGCCTCATAAATGGGACTGGAGCGCGAGGGAGCCTGAGACAGAGCGCGAGCGGAGGGACAGACAGGGACCGAGCGAGCTGGGCGAGGCGACGGGCACCGGGACTGTGGAGACGTGCGACCCCACGCCGGTCCAGGCGGGGCGAGCGGGAGGAATCTGCGAAGAGCCCAGGGAAGGGGCGAGGCTCGCGGGCGGAGGGGGCGCCAGTCCCGACACTTGTCGCTGGCGGGCGCTGCAGGCAGGGAACGCCGGCTCGTGGTTAGCGCAGACCGACTGACTTACTGACCGACGGACTGAGGCACATCCCGCGCCACCCCACCCCGTCCACATCCCAGCGCCGGCGCCGTTTCCCTCCTGTTACTCTCGCGGCCACCCCTTCCTTCTCCACTTCTTTTCCGCCTCCGCCTCTTGTAGGCTCCCTTGGCGCCAGTGCCTTCCCCTGGCCCGGGCGGGGCGCCTCCGCTCCCTGCAGATCTCTCGGTAGAGTCAAGGGGGACGTTCCGTTCTAGCAGAGCAGCAGCCTCTGCGCCGGGCGAGAGGTGCCCAGGGAGCTTCCCATCCAAGGACCAGGGCATGCGAAGGGTAAGACGTGGCAGACTTGCGTTTGAAAATACTTTTTCCGCTTCTCTCCTGCTTGGGTGCTGACCAGTGTGGTCCCCAAGTGTCCATCGCGGAGTTGTTATTCTGTGAACAAATCGTGCGTTGGTGTTTACTTAGCTGTGTAGCCCCAGCCTGTTAACTGTGGTCTGTGCTACTTCTGGAGGTTTCTACCGTTTACTAGTTACTGAATGTGTGTGCACCTGGCTCTCTGTATGCACTCACTGATGTCTGTTTGTGGAAAATGTGTAATTGTGCCTGTTTCAGAAACAGTTAGTGCTTAATGTCTGTAAACCGTATCAGCAGCTGTCTTCCCAGAGAAATACATCGATCTCTGCACCAAATCTAGAAACTGTCTAAATGATCAAATGTCCTATAAAGAAATGTATGTCAAATAATAAACTTTTGATGTAGAAAAATACAGCTACAGGCAGCACTCTTCTTTGAGGAAAAATAAATGGGCATGTAACTAATACCTAATCTGAGTAGTGATAGAACATTTAACTCGGAAGTGGCCATTAGCTGAGAAAAGTTGATGTGTTTTTTAAAAACACATTTCTTGCTAAGGCTCACAACCATAATGGATCACCTCCTGAATGCAAATGTGTTTGCTGTGCTCGATGTGAGAAGCTGTCATTTGGTCACTTGAAAGTTTAAAAGCGACATGCATGTTTCTAATTTTAGTTTTAACTTGAACAGATGAGAAAAAGATTTAGTCAACCAATTAATCATTTTGTCTCTCATCTTTTTTTCTTAAAAAATGTTATTCTTGCCTCTGTTGTTGCTTTCTTGATATATTAGGCATCCTCTAGCATTTAATCCAATAAGAGATTAGAATAGATTTATTGGTTTTAAAGGTGTTGAAAGATATTTCTGTGGGTCCCATAACTTGTCATTTTTATTACCAAGTTAATATCCTTTGAACAACGGGGGATATGCAATTTCTTAGCGGAAACTGAGTGGACATTGACTATCAGTGGGATGGCTACTGCCATCAATCTATTTTGCAGAATATTGAGAAGCTCAGAGCAACCAACCTTTAAGGTTCCCATAGGGCTTTATCTGATTTAAAGTGTTGCTTTTCTAATCCCACCCTGCTGACAATTTGCAAGGGAAGATAGACTGATTGATTTTTCTTGGTCCCTTCCCCCCCATTCCTTTCCCCTCCCCCACTCTTCTAACTCATTTTAGAGCAATTTTATCAAAATAAAAGGCCATGTATACTTTCTTAAGTGAGACAAATTATTTTCTGATTATATCCATTCTGAGTATCCACACACATACAGAATTGTAATCATAATATATTGCTGGCAGTTATTTGTAGGTACCTACAACAGTAGGTACCATAGTTGGGCAGAAGGTTTGAGGATGGATATGGTTTTTTAAAAACTAATTCATTTTAGGTTATCAAAAGAACTTATTATAAAAGGACTCTTTTTGTTTCAAAGATGTCTTCACTCCAGGCAAGGAGCAGTCTTGGCTGAGGTATGTATCAAGTGTCTGATAGGAAGATGTCTCATTGTGTTCGTAAGTCTCCATGGGGGTAAAATGATGCCACAGGGGGAAATGCTCAGTCCTGACCCTTCAAAAACAAAATGACTATGCTTGTTGTTAGGAAGGCCAATCAGATCTTTCATGCCCCCCAGTTTTAATAAGCAACATCAGTAAACATGCATGCATACAAAAAGAATGTTATGCCTAGTCGTTTCAATAAACATAGGTGATAGTATCTAATTTGCTGTGTGAAGTTTTCCCTCCTGGTGAAAATGTGGTCTCACATTGGAGTAAGTGCTCGGCTTTGTTTCTTATCCAACGTTTTCTGTCTTTTTCTGTTACCCTTTTCCCAGTGGACTGCCTGCCTCCCTGTCTCGCCTGTGAGGCTGTTCTTCTCTAATAAGCCTAGCTGCAGGATCAGTGTGTTCTTTTTGGCATTTCAAAATGTTAAAATAGTGAAATTGTTAAATGTTACCAAGATGAAACTGCTGGGAATGAAATTCTCCAGAAGAACCACTATGTTTGTGGCATATTTCAGTGTATTCCAAAAGAAAGCCCCTTGAATTGGTTTACCTATTTTTCTCAAGAAAAAAGCAGCCCACTTGATTAGTGTTGATAAGTGTTTAGTATGCGGTGTCAGCTTATTAATTACTAACGCAAAGCCTGAAAAACTCTTTCAAAATACTGTATGACATCTTTCTGTGTTTTGACCCAGAATTAACATTAACCACCAGGAAACTTAGACAGGCTCCCTGGTTGTCTTGCATATTAGTGATAGAGATTAGAATTGAAATACTTTGCTGTATAAGAATAAACTGTTATGAAATGGAACTCCTAACAGCACTTTACAGTTCACCACGCTTACCAAATGTTTCTTCCCAGAAAACAGTTGGCCTAATAAGAAAGGGGCTTATTTCTTATAATTAGCTCTCCAGGAATGCTGCAAAAAAAGTAATAAATTGAATTTGGAAATCCCGAACAACATGTGATGAATAAAATGAGATTTGGTGATAGCGTCTTGAATTTGGCCAGTAAGCTGGAGCCTGTCCTTTAGGTTGCTGCCTGTAATGTTCTTCTAGGGGGTAATTATGTTAGCTCAGTTGCATGAAGAACACAGATGAGAGCTTTCATTCCTGCAAAAAAAGATGCTGTGTCTCCACCAGTGTAAGTCTGTCTCTTCTATTTTTGTATTCATCACTTTCTAATTGAACCAACAAATTAGATGAAACCAGCATTTGGGTTTAAATTATTTATAATTCTGTTTTTCACTCTGCAACAACCTGACCCAGCAGTGTGTGGAAGACTGTGCTGGGACCAGGTTTATGTTTTGCACATCTACATTTTGAGGGACCACAAGCTCTGCTGATTTTTTTTCTTGACTGAAAATTGGTAAAGAAGTTAAAGAATAAGAGGAAATCAAAACCAATTGATGTACTTTATATTGGCATAATTTTAACTTCATACCACCCCCCCCATATCTCCTGCTCTTTCCTAATCCTGATCTGTAATAATGTTAACTTTATAATTCCATGAATGCTGTTTCTGAGGGGTGGAGGAATTTAACTTTGCCACTGAATTGCTATCAGCTATTTTGATAACCATTTAATTAGATCAGATTAACTTTATGACTTATTGTATAGGTCAACTTAGGTTTCTCTCAGATATATTCTGGACTAAAATAAACAGTAAATGTCATTTGGAATCTATAATATCAAATTATATGCTGCATAATTTTAGGTGATTGGATATATAAACATACTTTTATACATAGATATGAACAAACTTTTTCATAGATGTATATCATGACCAAAAGAAAATTAGATATCTTGCCTTTATATATTTGGACATACTTGAACATATAATTTAGGTTTTAAATAAGTATTATAGATTTGGGGAAGTGTCCAAATTCAGAGCAGTTGGACACTAAAGACTCAAGGCAAAGGGATGTATTCACCTTGCATCAAAACAAGGCTGTTTTTGTTTTCCACCGTAGTGGAACAGCGTTTCAGTCCCAGGTGTTTTAAGAATCTTGTGAAAATGCCAGGATGGGCATAACCACATTTGGTCATGGTTTTATCATAAACACTAATTGATGGGTTTAACACAGTTTTCACCAATCTTGCTAACTGCTTATTATTTGAGGGAAAAAAGTTGGGAGAAAGTTGGAAGAAAATATACAGTTATGACTGCATCACAAAATGCATATTAACATAGTAATATTTGTTACACATAACAAATTGTAATGCTATCAGAAGTAAGTTACAGCTATAGGAAATTTGTGAGGCCTGAAAAAGGGAGGGTTATGTTCAGTGGTTTTTGTGCCTCTCTCTTGATACTATTCAAATGGTTTGATGTTAGATGAACTTCTATCTCAAACAGGGCTGCATGGATAATACAGAAGTTAGGACATATCAACAATAATAGGTCAAAACCATCATTGAAGTAATCATTATGAACTTCTAGTTCATAACATAAAACATTTGCCAAAATTTTTCCTGGGTCATGTTTCTTCAATGAATAGGCATCTCATAAAAAAATAAAGCACTACACTTGATTATAATTGTTTTTTCTAGGACATTCTTACCTAGTTTTCATTGATATTTTCCATACATATTATTAATGTATAATTTGGGGATATCCTCTAATTTAAAAGTTTCATTTGGACAGGTTAATCGCATAACTTAGTGGCCATGGGATTCTTGAAGTTCATAGTTGTGTTTATGTAGGTGTTTGAGGGAAGGACTGTTGACTCACCAGACCTGAGCGAATGGGCCTGGCAGAGTCACCACAGTTGCTCCAGAATGCTGTGAGTTGTTTTATCCCAGCTGGTGGAATTTTCACACCTGCACTTTAGGAAAGCTTTCAAAGTTTTTCTTTTTTTGTTTTGTTTTCTTTTGTTTTTGAATATGTGAGTTGAGACTGGTTAGGTAGGAATCAATATTTTTTAGCTAACTCTTTTTTTTTTAGCTAATTCTCTTTTAACCCACTGTGTCATAGCATTATATTCTGTATTTTTTAGTAAGATTCCTAGATTTTGTATTTTTAAATGCAACAAGGGATGCAAGTTCCCTTTTATCCTAGATGCAGATGGCAAATCATTTTCCCCTAAGCATACAATATTTTATCTAATGTCTTATTTTTCTACTCTAGTTTAGATTCATAATTGTTTAGAGTTTGTATTTGTTGACTAAAAATTTGATATCTTTTGAGTTGACTCCTTACCACCAGTATCAATTCTGAATAGCATTTTTAATAATTTTTAACTTCAGGAAATAAAATGCAGTATAGCTACCTAAATTTGGCAGTGTAATATCTATTTTTTTAATTCCTATTAGCAAATTCTATGCTATTGCTTTTTAAAGAAAAGCAGAGGCATTTTTCAAAGATGTGCCAGGCAATCTGCTGTGGTAGTTGGACATGCTGGCAAATGCTTCCACAAACTGTGTATGTCAATAATATATTTAAATATAATTAAAATAACATGCAATTAGGAAATTATGTTTGTCAAAGTTTATGTTTAAATGGGAGGGTTCCCCTCTGTTCCTCATCATTTCTTCATCCATTATTTTGGACCATATATTTAGAGAAGAGAATTGGAATCAATATGAGTTCTATGAATTGTTATAAGGAGTTTAACATTTAAATTGGTGATAAATTCCACCATGCTTCTTAACAAAATGTCTATTCTCACATATAAACACTCATACTAGGAAGTTTTCTAACGCTGTTTTCCGCTGGTCAAGAGGCTAAAAATGATGTTTTTAGTACAGCAAGTGAACCAACATCATAGGTCATATGCCTTTGTCACTCTTGCTTGCTTTTAACTCAGCTATGTTTCAAAATAAATCAATTTGACTTATTTTTACAAGAGAGACTTAATTCAATGCCACTCTGATCTGTGTATTTTGGTTTATTCCTATGTAGATTGTTAAATGGACTAGATTTTCAACTAATTTTAATGCATTGCTACCAGAATTTGTAAATGTTTTCTCCAGCTTTTATGTAAGTTGCGGTGAGCAAGCAATATGTGTGTGGAGAAAAAGGAAAACTGAACAACTTGACATATAACCAAAGTAAGCAAAAGATTATCTAAAGAATTCTGTATCTTTGCATATGTGGGAATTTAACTTTGGAAAATGTACAGCTACTATTGGAAACTACATCTAACTTCTTGCAAATTAAAAAAAAAAGAAATCTTTGAATGATTTCAGTCCTCACTCAGGAAACTAATTATGAGTAATCTATGATCCATTTTTTATTGATAAAATAATCAGAGAGGGAACAGTCTGCCCATATTTTCGTGATTTGGCATACATTTCCATATACTTATAAATTTTAGATATAAGATACTTGCCATCCATAAGCAGTGTAAAATGTATAATTATCAGGGTAGTTCTGAAAGATAGTTTACAGTGGATCTGCATTACTTGAGCCTGCTGCAAAATTTCTATTTTAGTTTGTGGTTTTCTGGGTTCATCTCCTATGATACATTATTTTATGGTTCTGGGAAAAGAAGAACAGAAACAGAAACATTTCCATCTTTAAACATAACTGCTGTAATGCTAACTACTTTTACTTTTCCTGTTCTTTTATGTGCAGTAACTATGGGTTCCCTCACAATAGTGTTGAAAGAAATTGCTAGCAGTCCTATGAAACTTTACATAGACTTTGCCAATAGAATTAGGAGAAAATGGTTGGTGTAGAGTTCTTAATTTATGTCTGCATCCTGGGTACTTACATCTCAGATCTTGAAGCCACTTCTCTTTGCTGGATAAGATATATAACAGCAAGTGTCCTGAAACAGTGCAGAGAAGCCCTGAATTGTAGGCTGAGAGGTTCCCTACTTCTGTTTATTTTCAGACTACACTGCATTATTTTATTCCAGTCAAATAAAAATGCCATGGATTTAAAGATCTGTGAGATTATTGTGGCCTTGTAGTATAGTTTGATATCAGGTAGTGTGATTCCTCCAACTTTTTTATTCTGTCTCA